TGTGGGAAATTGGCTCTGGGAGGTAACTTGGTTTTTCATGAACACAAACACACCTACCGAAAAGTGTCAGTAGTAATGGCTAAAAGAAATAATCGTGTTGCGGGCCCCACTGCAGTCGAATTCTCTCGAAGGGATAAGATCGACGGTGTTTTGCGCTTGCGCCTTTCTTTCATTTGCCCATATGACTGGAGCTCGTGGTCAGGGTGATAACTGAGGGCGTAGAGCCTGGACACCAAGCAGTTTGCTATGCTCTGTAATCTCGACGAAAAGAGGATTCGAAAACTTTTGGATTAGTTGCTTACCGGCAAAAAGTGGAACGGAGGGGCTCGCAGCTATTCCCAACCCCAACCCTCCAAGTTTAATTGAGATTATGGGACTGACTCCTTGAGGCCGGCTTCATTTTGCATTTTCCTTATGAACGGAAGCCCTTCAGACGGTTAGAAGCGTACTCCTGGACGAAGTTGGGCTTGTTCGCGTGGTACCCTAACCGAGGAGGTAAGCGATACTGTTCCTAATAAGAGCTGCTCAGAAATCCCAAGCGACTGCCGAATTCTATGATGGGTCACAACTTCGCGTAGGATGAAGATGATTCGACTTAACCTGGGCTGACTATGTGATTGCATGCCGTCGTCTTATTAAGTGAAGGGAAAGAAGAGGGATTAGAAGGGGGGAGAGGGGGCTGGGTTACCGGTCGTGGGGACGTGCACAACACCACTCGGAGGTCGAGGCACTTACTGGGGCGTGGCTGTTAGCAGAGCTTAACGAGGTCGACGGCGTATTCCACAACAGGGTGGTGCAGGGATGGCGCGCGGATAGTGGACTTACGCTGCATCTAACGCACTCTGTCTTCTCTCACCCACCTGTGCCCTGTGTCAAAGCAGAGTCAAAAAGACCAGAATTGGGATCGATCGCAGGTGGCTGGTACGGCGTGAACATGAGCATACGCGTACCACCACACCACCCATATTTGGCATTTGTTTTGGGCCTGCAGTCCGAGTAACACCTGCCGTACCCTAACCTAGTCTCCCTTTGTTGGACGAGGACCTTTGCCACGCTGCCCGTTTAGAGGCGTGGAGCGACCAGCCACCCC